ATGTCCATTATAGCATAATGTGCTGAGGTAAGAAAAATATCCTGTGTACTGAATATTTTTAAATTAAGTTACCAAGACTGTAAAAAAGGATTATACTTTTGCCTCGTTTTTGTAACTTTAATTTCGAATATCTCCGTATTTTGAGCGATTGCATAAGAAGGAATGTAAACTACGCTACGCATCTTACCCATTCTGACAGTCAAACGCTTATGTCGAGTCTCGCCTTTTGATGCCACACATTTAAAACGCGTGCCTAACGCATGCTACGTGACTACGGTCTTAAAATACTTTATACGAACTCGTAATGTCAATTCGTTTGAAGGTCAATATAACTATTTAATAAACTACGTTTAATAAAGCAGACTTCAACCTCCTTTTTTTTAGTCGGTTAAAAGTAAAACAATAAATTTTCTAAAAACCGCATCAATAGCGGTTCAGCCAATCGTGAGATAATCGTACAAATAAACATGGGTACATACAGGTCAAACTGAGAAACTCCATTTTTTTGAAGTCGGTTAAAATTAAATAATAACTCCGGCTTTAACTAAAAAAAATATAATAAAAATAAATAAAAAAACATGTAAGTTTTCTTTGGTATTATTTATTTATTAACACTTCTGTATAATAAATATACGATGGCGGACTTAATACCGGGTGGCATTCCCCAACAGTCAACCATGGGGTGATGCAGAGATGTGTAACAGTAGTATTAGTAGCTTTTATGGAATTTTCAACAAAATAATTGCCATTGTTCTTTCATCCAAATCTGTTTGGCAGATTAATTAATACGGATTAAATTTAAATCCAATCAACTATATATTCTATTAATTATTATCTGATTTATAAGTCATAATCATTAATCGGACTTATTGCTAATCCATAAGAAAGGTAAAATGGATTAATAAAGATAAAATAAAACAGATTGAATTAACAGATTAGCGTATTCAGGTAAAACATTAAGGCTACCTACTTATTCGATTGTGGGGCATTTGAAAGTAATGATAAAATTATTAAACGCAACAACATTAAGAACCCCTTTAAGCTCTAGAAGTGAAAGGCAGGATTATGTACATGGATGACATTAAGTTATTTACAGAAATGGTAGGTATAAATGTCAGCAGCATGGTCTCCTCATCGAGAGCTCTCTTCATCGTGTGGCCATTTCTGTGGAAAAATGGGACATTTAACATCTGCGTCTACTAAGAAAGTGGAGTTCCCGAATTGTGCAACTTGCTCTCGTTCAAATAAGTCCAACCAGCATAAAACAGGAGATGCCGAATGTCCTGCCAGTAACATAGCGGAATGTATGTACCTATATCACCTCGACCGAGTATGAGGGTACAAAGAGCGCTTCATACTCCGTTGTTGTGTGAGTGTGTGTGAGTTAAATAGCATATCACTTTAATGCTGTCTTAGCACATTTTATGTCTTTTATTTGCAATAAGAAGGTAAATGAACGAATGAAAAATAACCTACATTATGTTTTCTGCTAATATATGAACCCGACCAATAACAAGATTGTTTTGTTTTAAATAAGTCTTGATTTAGTTATTTTTATGTATTAGGTATATATCGCACCCCTAGGCCAATAACGGCGTGATGCAGAGCCGCGGAGAATTTATCGGGTTACCGGGGCTCCGGTTCGAAGTGCATGAGTAGTAACGGGGTGGTTTTTAGTCAGTAGGAGTCTGACGCTCCGTCCCGCCTCATCCAGGTGGGAGCAGTCATTCGATGATTTTCCCCCCCTTAAAATTTTTATTTAGTTTTGAATAGTTTAAGTACATGTACTCAATTTTTCCGTTATATTTAGACATAAAATGAAGGATTTATACAAAAAAACTGACTAGGTACATACTTATACACAAGCACGTAAGATTTCATTAATATATAACCTAACCTAACCATGTTTAAGGTTTTCTTTCATTAAATAAAGCAAAAATGTATAATTTGTATTTCGTATGCTTTTTAATGCCTAATAAAGAACAATTTTCTTAAAATAATACCGGTTTCATCCCATTACAAAATAAATAAAATAATCAAACGAGAAACGACGTATTTCCATGTGTACGGGTGCACTTGCACACAGTTTCGATATAATCATGTTTACTCCTTTTTTCTGTTCACAATTTGATCTAGTTGGCGGAAGTAACCAGGAACTCGTCACATAAACAAGTCGAAAGGTCCTAGGTACTCTAGGTACTTACCCTTACAACGCATGAGTGAGTGGGATTATTTATTAATTTAGTTTTGATAACTCATGCGCCGTTTAGGGATGACACCACGTAAATAGCCGGTCTGCAGTACTGGCCTTTTCAAATCAAAACAATTTTTGTTTGGCTAAGAATTCTAATTTCAAATCAATTTAATATTTATAAATGAACGTCAGCGCAATGTTCGCTTTAAGATGTGGCTTACACTGCTCAACAGACACACAAATGAAGGAATGTTGAACCGCATTGATACCTACGATGAAATATGGATTCTGTTTGATAACTACAAGCGCACAGCAAGTTAGTTGGATCCTGATTCAGCACCTAAACAATGCCCTAAACGAAAACTTACACCTAGAAAAGTGATGGACTGTTTGGTGGTTTAACGTCGGTGTGCCAATCATCACAGCTTCTTACCAAACGAGGTGAGCATTACTGCAGATGTGTACCGTCAAGAACTGAACACAATGATGGAGAAGCTGGTACATCTCCAACCAGCATTGGTTAACTGCTCGTCTCCGCTGTTCGACCCCATACTGCACAACAGACGGTCTCTAAGTTGCAAGAACTGGCGTTGGAAGCTCTCCATCATCCGCCTTATTCACCAGATCTTGCGCCAACAGACTGCTACTTTTTTCAGAATTTGGATAATTTTTTGGCGGGGAAAAAAATTCAATACCCAAGAGGCAGTACAAAATGCCTTTGAAAAGTTTAAGCCTCCCGTCCATCTGATTTTTTAAGAAAGACATCAATAACCTGCCTCAATCTGCCACTGCGTTGGCAAATATTGATTGCATGGGTGATTACTTCGATTCATCATAAGAGCCATAGGATGTTCAATGGTGAATATAGGCCTTCCCCAATGACTTTCAGATAGGCTGATTGGAAGCAACCTGCATCCAGTGGCTCCCTGCGACCTTAATCAGGTCGTCTGTCCACCTTGCGGGTCAACATCCTACGCTGTGCTTGCCGATACGTGGCCGTGGTACGTGGCACTCGATAACCTTTCTGCCCCAGTGGCCGTAGGTCCTCCACGCTATGTGCCCTGCCCACTGCCACTTCAACTTGTGTCTGCTATGTCGGCGACATATGTTCGTTTGCGGGTTTCACCATTTTTTATTCGGTTTTGGATGGTGTTTTTCGTTGATTTCATTTATATTCTATGGAAAATACTGTTAGTTACACATTTGTTTGTCTTGCCTATGTATTGTGTCATCATAATGTATCATGTATGGTGTCACTGTTTGTTTTCCCGAATTTATAAAATAAAATAGAAGTAAAATGAAATGCAGCAACCCTGGCCATCATCTATACAAATAAAAATGAATTTCCGGTCTAGTCTTGCTAAAACTTGAGAACAGCTGAACCGATTTATAAGAATAAGAATAATGTTTATTTCAGAAAGTATTACAATTTTGTTGTAGACCTCACACTAGGATTCCCTGTGTCGTGAGGCCCAGGCTCCCTAACAAACAGTACAAAAAGAAAATCAACATAATGCTTATATATAAATTTGTATTATGTGTGTGAGTAAGTGTGAGTGCGTGTGTGCATGTGTGCGTGTGTGCGTGTGTGCGATTGTGCGATTGTGCGTGTGTGCGAGTGTGCGTGTATGCATCTATTGTGTGTAGTAGGTGTGTGTATAAGTGTCCATGTTTAGAAGTGTGAATATATGTCATATAAGTGAATACCAATCAGAATATTTGGCAAATGTTGGTCCTGCAATGTTCGTGGAAGTCATGGGAAGAAAAGAAGGTAAAAAGGCGAAAAAAAATTTTTAGGCGGTATGAAGTTTGCCGGGTCAGCTAGTCGCTTATGATAATAACCACTCACATTTTTTTTTCTAAGAAAACATTTCCCCACTCTTGTATTTTTTCATGCGACGTGGGTGCGTTTACAAACATGCAAATTCACATGCCAGTTATATTTCTGCTACCGATGGAGGGTGCAAATGGAAACTATGATCATTTTACTAAGTTTATTATAATTAAAATTACATGATAACGCCTAAAAACTACTTAACCTAAGTGCAAATGCGTTCGACTATGGAATAACACTGCTTTCATCTCTTAAAAATATTTTGTAAAAAAGTTTTATTGAGGTTAAATCTAGTGGGGTGATCGATGATGTAGCGATTCGTAGCTGGCCACGAGGCGGCGACATGAGGAGAAGATTCAGCAGATCCGGGCCACGAGACACGACGTTGATCACGGTGTGGGTACATGACGTGTCGGCACCGATGCGTAACATGCAGACTCGAATCAACAATTTGTGGGTCACACAGAGAATTGTTCCGAGCAGGAATCGAACCCGCTACATGTTGCGCGGCAATTAGTTACACAGCCACCGCGCCGACCTTACAATTATTATATCATCATGAATGAGGATAGTGTAGGTTATATAGAACATACAATATTATATTACCATCGAGCTGGTTTGATGATGGAATTGACAGGTCGAAGGATGGAACCTTCGGCAACCTAAGAGTTAACATATCAAGTTTTTACTCATATGTCCATTTGTCATGATGATGTTTGCGTGAAAGCGTGTTTTTAATTTCTTTATTAATTCATTTATTTCAAATATGTACACCTGTCAACCCCATATTTTTAGTATTGCCAAAATTTATTTTCTCTGTTAATTAGTTCAACGCAGTATCAGGGCCTATAACAAGGATAAATAATGCGACCTATTAAATTCCTAATTTATTGAAATTTAAACAAGTATAATTATAATAATACAAATAATACAATAGACAAAATATGTAATTTTGTAAAATACATTCAGTATTTACAACAATAATTGAAATATGGCGCATACAAAGAGAACAACAATACTGCTTTTGAATAAAAATGCTGAACTGGGTTCTGGACAAATACCAGTTTGTTCAACTGTTCTGAAATACGGTTCATGGAGCTCTTGTCTTTGTTGTATCACACCTGCGATGGCTGTCTCTCCAGCAGGTGACATAGTCCTTCCACGACTCAGCTGCCAAGCACGAACTAGAAGGAAATAGTAAAAATAGGTTAGGGTTACTTGGCCATTTAATAGTTAGCAAATAAATAGGTATTTTTTTTTGTCGTGAGCTTTAATATCTATTATACACGGTAGTATATCTTTTACGTATGTACATATTAGTATATTAGTACACTGGCTACTTCTGCGCGTGTTCCACCCGCTTTGCTCGGGCTCCTGTTGCTCATAGCATGATATTTTATATCCTATAGCTTTCTTCGATATGCACTATTCAACACAAAATAATCATTCAAATTGGACAAGTAGTTCCTGGGACTAGTGCGTTCAAACAAACAAACGCTTCAGCTTTATATAATAGTATAAGATAAAATAAGTATACTGCTTCGTTGGCCGAATGGTTGCATTTTCGACAGCCAAGCAAGAGGTCTTAAAGTATGACATACGGGATTTAAAAAAAAATCATCTAGCGCGGAGTCTGGAATTGTACCCGGTATATGGCAATAGGCTCACCCCCTATTACACGGAACGCAAAACATAATTGGTGAAATGTGGGTGTTAGATTGTACAGCGGCATTAAGTGCCGTAATGTGCACCTTTGCCTACCCTTACGGGGATAAAAGTGATGTTATAAAACAGTATAATATTTGTATATAGATAAGTATATAGATTATTTTTGAAGAATTAGATATTTAAATAGCCTAATATATTGTGTACTTTTTCAACTAACAATTAATTCGTATTATAATAGAATACTAATGGCGTGCCAGCTACTTTAGAACCTAATGGCTTGGTACGCGACGATGACAAGAGACCCGACGGTATGTCATTATTTCTTTGGAAAATGGGTAGGCCTTTAGAATGGGACGCCACTTGCGTCTTGATACTCTGGCGCCATCCCATCTTCCAAACTCAGCGTGTCGAGCCGGTGCTATCGCTGCTGCTGCCGAGAACCTCAAACGGCGAAAGTATAATAGCCTCATTGGCAATTATGGTTTCGAACCGTTTGGGGTTGAAACTTTAGGGCCGCGGGACCCAAGTGCACATCTTTTTTACAAAGATATTGTAAGGAGGATGGTTGACACTTCAGGCGATCGAAGGGCTGGCTACTACCTTGGGCAAAGGTTAAGCATTGCCATTCAACGTGGCAATGCTGCTAGTCTTTTGGGCACCCCACCTCACGATAGCAATGAGGAAAAATTTTTTTATGCCTTAAGATAGCATTTTTATTATTATTATTTCCTTTATTTATTTCTATACTTGACTTATATATTTTTAAATATTTGATTATATAAAAAAGATTTAAAAATATAAAAGCAGTAGCCCACCAGTAACGGGAATCCAAGCTACCGGTGGTCAGGGCTCCAGAGAAAAGAATTTCCGGACAATACACGCCGTGCCCAGAAGTACTGCTTTCTGCATCAGGCCCTTGACCCAACCATCTAACGCTAGCCTACTCAGATGTTGGTCGAGGCTTTTAGCAATGAGGCCATTGGCAGATACGACTATCGGCACAATGACTGCTGTATCCACATCCCCCATGTCGACAATCTCATGAGCTAAATCAAGATATTTACTCACTTGATCTTTTTTAGCTTTCACGAGATTCTCGTCATGTGGGATTGTTATATCATCTATTATTGTGCGAGGGAACAATTATAGTTTTATTATTACTTTTGTTAAGGAGTCAATATTTTAGTTTTTAGTTATTTATATTTTAAGTTGCATATATTTATTTAATTTAAATTCTTATTAATAAAGTAATGATTTGACCTGAATTCGTATTATGAACTTCTGCGCCTACGATCTTTATTCCTAATCTTGAGGTAATTGAAATAAAATGTTAAATATTTAAAGTGTACCTATACCTATCCCTTTTTAATAAGTGTATCAGTTAACGTTTTATTTATTGGGTTTTTATTACCTAATAGTCAATTGCATACTTACTTTGTCGGTGAAAGCCGTTTACGTTGTTGCAACTGTATGCTAATGCGTAACTGGTGTAGTCTGTAGCCAGTATATAAACTATGGTATCAGCACTTTCTGAAATCAGTAGAAGTAAAAAATTAGAATTTGCACATATTTACCAATTTATTTTCATGGAATTTAGTAGTTCAATCGACGATATTTTGTAAATTATATAATTAAAAATTTTACTGTTTTCTGCCAAACTCATCCAAAAATATCAACCTTTATTCACCTGGCCCAACTTAACAACTATTGCTTACCTTCTGAGCCCGCCACTGGCAAGGTTATAGTTATTTGACCCGAGTTATCAGTTGAATTGATTCTGCCTGTTCCTTCCGTAATCAATAACTCTCCATTGACCACTTCGTATGAAATAATGTTGATACTGTCGGATTTTGGAGTAAATCTCCCACCAACACAAGTGGTTGTTACAGGGTCGTATCTTTTAATCTGGTACCAGTTTCCTTGGAACTGTAAAAATGCATATCACAAAGAAGAGTCAATAAAGTTAATAAAGTAAAACATGTAGCAGGGAGGAAGCACTAATGGGAACTAAGCTAATATTATTCGATAGATTATGTGCTTCTTATATATAAAATGTATCGTAAAATGTAAGCACATAACTCAAGAGCGGCTGATTTGGCCAAATATTTTTTTCAAATGTTCTTTAAAGTTTCAGGATAGTTTCTATGGCGAGAATAATTCGAATAATGTTCGCAGACCCCCAAGAAAAAGCTTTTTCTTTTTCTCTTACAAACGTTCACTAATTAAAACGTACAGTCAATTTGAACTTTATTTCTGTTGTTTCAAGTTCATATTGCAAGCACTCGCTGTTGTCTAAGCAATGTAGCTGAAGTTCCTTACGTCGAAGAGTCATTTTTCATGGAATAGGAGGCAAACAAGCAGACAAATCACCTGGTGGTATTTAACTCGTTGAGTACCGTCATTATAGACACAATTAAACAACAATAGGTTGCGGTCACCGGTGACCGCTCGGTGTTTGGCAGTTTAATTGGCGCTTTATTAACGCTATTTAAAATTGAAATTCAATTATATCTATTAACCCAGTTTGCGTGTGTGCGTTGGAGGACAGAGTACATCGATGGGGGATTTAATGTCACGTTCCAAAATTGAATAGTCACAAAATGTAGTGGTTTATTTGGACCTTTTTTGCAATTGTTTGCATTTGGAGATTTTTATATCATCTGACATTTGTTTGACATGCTAGTTTAAAAGGCAAATGAATTACACTTTTTTCTTGTTATTTATAATATTCACACAAAGGTATGCAAACAGGTTGACAGTAGTCTGAAGATAATATTTTCATTCTGATGTAGATAATCTAGTTTCCTTATGGCATCGAACATTTCTTTATTTATTGAAACAAAAAGTTTCCTTTTTCTTGTATAGAAGCACTATTTTTAATCGACTTTAAAAAGGAGGAGGTTCTCAATTCGACCGTATATATGCTTTTTTATCGATTGTCAGTATGCATATGTGAGCACCATGTTAGATTATAAGATTTTTTGTTTGTTAAAAAGACAGACATCGGTGTCTGTCTAGTTAACAAAAATTTTATAATAACATTTTTGGGTCCGAATTCATAAATATTTGTCTGTCTCTCTGTATGTTCGCGCATTACGCAAAAATTAGCGGTCCGATTACGATGATATTTGGTATCATTATAATTTGATATCCTGGGAACTGGGTACTTTTATCCCCAAAAAGTATACACGAAAAACAAACTTAATAGTGCGGCTCAATCCTCAGACATAGTTACTGTACCAAACGAAAATATTAAGTTTGTCGTATGTTAGGTTGCCCGCAGTGGACTTTACGCTGTATCTATAATGCCGAAGGTTGAAATTTGGTTCAACCGATATTTAAATATGTGAGTTTTTGTGTTTATGTGTATGTTTGTTACTTAGTCACATCAAAACGGTAGAAGGGACCAGGATTGAATTTGGAATAAAGGTAGATTATGGTCTGGAGGCTAACACATAGGCTACTTTTTACGACTGGTAATGCGGGCGAAGCCACTGGTCTGTAATAAAATTGTTTGCAGCTTAATGATCAGTATGTGTTAAGGCTATAAACTGTCAAACACCGCGAGGACACCGGTGACCGCAACCTATTGTTCTTTAATTGTGTCTATAATGACGGTACTTAAAGGGTTAATTAATAATTTTGTTCGAAACTTGTGATCGGCAGCATACCAATCTGTACATGTGACTGTTAATATAGTTCTTAATATAGTTAATTATTACACTGGCAGATGTTTGCTGCCGCGACCACAGAGCATGTTATTATAAAAGACGGAACTTAGAACTTCAATTACTGATGATAATCATCAACAATAAAATCCTAATGAACTTCCGTTTTCCTGAATATTAGCTACAGCAGGTTTCGGCCTCCATACAAAAAAATATTTGTTCTCTGACGTGCCGTACTGATTTATTGATTATTTGATTCACTCGCCCGCGCCGGTGCAATTCGCCGGTCGCACCGCCTCCCGCTCGCCGCTCTCCGTGGCTTGCTCAGTACATTTCTTTTTGTTTGTTCCAGTTGCTAGACGCCTCACCGATCGCACCGCATGTTTCGTGGCCAGGCTGTTAATACGCAATCTTACCTGATTCAGGTTGAAGTCCGGAATTCCGGAAATGGTTTGATCACACTGGCCAGGTATTATGATGTCATCATTTAGAGTAATGTTGGGATAACGGAAACACGTTTCCTCGGTCTGATCCGTGTTTTGGTAATAGTCTTCATTGAGACCTTGAGTTCTGCTAACCACTTCATCAATAGCAGTAATGTCTTCGGGACTCAGTGTACCGCTTCTACTAAGTTTCCAGCTGCCAACTGGGAATTAAATTGGTTTGAGAGTGAAACTTTAATAATTTAATTGTTATCAGAGATGTTAATAACAAATACACAACGTTTCCACACCTCGTCGTTTGTTTCCGTTGTCTATATTGGCGCAGCTGTATACAAGTGCATAACTGAGGTAGTCGGTTGCCAGTACGTAGTAGTTGGATCGCCTGATCTCTGCAAAAATGTATTTAATGTTATTTATTATCTTTGTCTAAAAATTAAGGTAAAATTCAATATATCTTTTTTGTTAATCATGGAATTTAGTTTAATGTAAAATAAAATTATTTATGTCACATCACTTGGTACTAAAACAATTGCATTTTGCATAGTTTTGCAGGGTTTTGATTGCGTATCACAATAGATAAAATAATATTTTTCTGTTTTTGGGTTCCCCACAAGTGCGTGGTAATGTAATAAGTGCGTATTATCTTGCTATGTTTACAAAATTTTATGTGAATTCATTCGCAATGGAGAACATTAAAGATATTTTATTTCCGAATTTCATCAATTTTTTGCTTGCATTGGGACTCTTCACCGGTTTTGTGACTCTTTACCAGCAGTAATTAACAAGAATATCACCAACACAATGAAAATCGCTGCGGCTCACAACAGTCTTGGATGTCCTTATGAAATAATCAGAAGATAGCTATAATAAATATCGTGAGACGTATACTAATCGGCTGCACATTGGGCTTACTTACCATTATTGACATTAAAAGAAACTTCAAACTGCCCAGTTCCATCGTCGCGTGCAACAACGGCTATTCCTTGTATCGTGGTCATTTCTCCATTTATAATTTGGCTGTTCATCACAGAAATGGCGCCTCCAGCAATTGGAGTATAACTAGCACGATTACACTGTCCAGTTTGCGTCGGCTGTGGGTATCTAGCGGCTTCTATCCACGTGCCTTCATACTAGAAATAAAATGAAATATGTATATTATTATGTTTAGACACCACTGACAAGCTCAGCTTTGCTCGGTGTTTGTATTAGTACATATTTGAACCCGAATGTATTGCGTAGCAGGCGTCTGCTATCTGTACTACATGTAATGACGAAAGGAAATCTTTTCGACTGCAAACATTTATCGAATTTTTGAAAGTGAAAGCCAACGAACAATAGTTTGGAGCAATAGTTAATATGGCGTAAAGTTGTAGGATTCTACGTGGAGAAGTAATACCAGTTCGAAGATTCATAACTTTTATGCATTTATTGCTATCTAAAGGTGCTAGGAAACGCAAAATAATGATAAAAATTGCTAGAATAATGAAATTCAGGCAATTGTGATGATAATGCGAAAAGTTTTCGCAGCCGCTTTTTTGTTCGAATATCTTGAAATGATCTATGTTCATAAGGATTTTTATTCGATAAAAACACAGACGAATGAAACCTAGCTAGATTGATTTATCTCCTCCGAAACTTATTGTTGTTGTTGAAAATCCGAAAAACATACCTACATATATATATAAACTCGTCAAAACTAAATAGAGCCCACCCTGTTTTTATGCTTTTATCAAAAAACATCTATCTGTGTCTGATTTTTAAGAACAGAGATGTTTAAATTAAGTATTTAGGTATTATTTAGGCTCACTGAGTTATGTTTATTAGTAAATGGAACCTCCTTTACTCCATAAGCACTATTTGAGTCCATTTGTTACACTGTTATTGTGGTGGGTGACCATTACATCCGATAGCCCTTTCCAACGGACTTTAAGCTTGTTTATGGATTCCTGTCCATTGTTTATTTGACTTCAAGTCTATATTAAGGTTATTTTTAGTTGATCCCGTAGACATTCAATAGTTCGAAGACTGGGTCTTATTGCAGGACACGGCAAAACCCTAATATTTATTTATTTAATATAAAACGTTGCCCCACACTAGGATTTTCTCCTGTGTCGTGAGTGCGTCTACAAACATACAAGTTCACATACACAAAGACACCCAGACCCGAAACAACAATTTGTGGATCACACAAAGTGTTGTCCCGTGCGGGAATCGAACCCGCGACACGTTGCACGGCAGCCGGTTGCCCAGCCACCGCACCAACCGTGCAGTCATTGGTTGGTGCTAGTAAGAGTTTTTTTTGTCGAATTGTTTGTTTTTCGAGAATTACCATACATTAAGTATGGTAATTCTCGTTTGTAAACCAAACTATCACTAACTCTTTAAGGATATAAAATGCCGTGAGGTTCAGTTACTCGCTCAATGTAACTCCCAGCTCGTATATAACATTTATTCAGAGTTAGTGTGCATGGCTCAGTTCAAATGTTTGTGATCACACCTTAAAAGTGCTACACGGTGAGCTCTGATCAGTTTGGGTAAAAAAACTTAACTTGCAACATTAGGCATCTTCTTAGAATTGCTTAAGTTTGGTTGGATCAATGGCATATGTAGGTACCAGCAGAATGCAGTATGCACAAAACGCTCCTAATGTTCCAAAAGCCTCATATACCTCATATACAGTTCTGCAGTTTTAAGAGTCGCAGACAGACTCAAGTATCTCTCAATACCACTTTCACACGTCTCAGTTACCTCCTCGCAATACATTATTACAAATTGCTACAACTCTATGAAACTCTCCCACCTGAAGCAGAGCGACTGCCCCAGCAGCGGTGTCCTTGTCCAAAACATATTGAAATTCAGTCATAGCATACACAATTAACAAAGAAACCAAACAAAACTTTCAATACAAGCAACAATTAACGATTACTCTTACAGTCACACCATGAACACAACAAATACAACTTCTTCATATCACGTATTTTTAACCCATTCACTATTTCTATAGAGGTATTTACTTAAATAAAATGATCAAACTTTTGTCTAGAATATTAAAAATTACTTATGAATATGAAACTACATAATCAAATGTTTTATTTTAGTAATCAATACCTTTTGATTTATTTCAAGAGAAATATACGAAATTATCGTTGGTGGGGCCGAGTTTATATATTGTATGTGGGTAGCGGTTATAGAGGTATATATATTATTTTATATATATTACATCGAATTCCATATATTTAATAATAATATACATTCTTTATTTATAATTATTGTATATGCTCGTTTAAAGGTATTAGATTAAACATTTGAAATCGCCAACCAGCATTGAGTAAGCGCGGGGTTGAATGCTTAAACCTTATTAATATCCGGATTTATTGCTTTGGCTGTAACATATATACAAATATTATAATGCTGTTAAATATCGGTCAGTGATTGGCTACTATTCAATATTACTTAAAAAATACCAAGAAAAAGCATTATGTTTATTTAAAGTAACATGAGAGTTCTGACAATTCAATATAATAATATTATATGCAAGAGTATTATATGTAAGTAACTTACAGCAGAGGGTTTGAAGTCCGGAATACCTCTGATGCTGGTGTCGCAGGGGCCAGGCAGTTCGATGTATTGCTGTGGTTCATCAAACTTTGGATAGTAGAAGCACGATGCAAAACTTTGACTTGTGGGTTGGTAATACTCTTTAATTAGACCGTTTGTTTGGCTTATGACTTGATCAATTGCATTATTGGCTGCTGCGCTCAGAGTCCCTGTTCTACTAAGCACCCAACTGCCGACTAAAAATAGGTAATTCGTAAGTAGACGTTTCATCGCAGGAAACAAATAGGTATATAAATAGTAGATAACTTGTCTTTAGGATTACCTCGTCGTTTTCCGCTTTCATTGGAGCAGCTGTATACAAGGGCATATTCTTCATAGTCAACTGCGAGAACGTAATAGTCTGATGCTCCATTTACTGAAATGCAATAATTTTATTCATTTAAAATGTAAAATAAAGGACTGTGCGAACCAAATATACTAAAAGCTTACGGTAACGGTTCTGGTAAAATCCCTGTGGGATTACCAAGACTTATTTTTTGAAACTACGTGCAAAATTGTTTCGACCTTTTATATTTTAACACACACTGTCGACTGGAAACGGTTCAAAATAAATCCTTCACTATCGCTACCATACATTATAATAATAATAAGTCAAAACTATTCACTAAAAATTACTCACTACTACCAAACATAATATTTAGTTTAGTTTTCGTGCTTAATTAAACATATTTGATACATATATTCTTGGCAGCTACAGATTTCATTTGAGTAACAAACTAGTAATATGTGTGACGAATATTATTGTCATGCTACAATTTCTGAAGAGCGAAGCACAAGGAGCCTACGAAGTAAAAGTTCTAAAGTTGCGTATAAGAATATTTTTCGACGCATTTGCCGTTAATGAAGGCGAGTTTATTAGGCGATACAGGCTCACTAAGCAATTAGTGCACAATTTGTGCTAGGAGTTGCGACCTCACATTATCTTTGATTCTGAAAGGGCATCTGATCTAGGTATCTGTAGAAAGAAAGGTTAATAACTTTTAGAGCTTGTAAGTTAATCTTATTTCACTATCTGATTTAGCCATTACATAATCTCAAGTTTCGATTTTTATGAGTATTTAGGTATGTGTATTAATAATAGATTTTTTTTCAAATGCTAAACAGTTGCTCGTAGGATTTTTTTTTTTTTTAAGGGGGGAAAATCATCGAATGACTGCTCCCGCCTGGGTGAGGCGGAAGGGAGTGTCAGACTCTTACTGACTAAAAACCACCCCGTTCCTTCTCCTGCACGTCGAGCCGGAGCCCCGGTTACCCGTTAGGTTCTCCGCGACTCCGAATCGGCATCGGCCCTATTGGGCCCCATCTGTGGTGGTCTGATGGCTCTTTGAGGCGCGCGCGGAACGCGACGCGCCGTACGCTCGGGTCTGTTTCTGGTCGGACGGGGAGCCACCCATGCTCGCCGTCCGCAGGCCCGCGCTTACGGCGGCCGGAGATCGTCCCGCGATCCCCGACGCCCGGTGTGTTCTTCGCGATGGCTGGGTTGCGAGGAGGCAGCGCTTCGCTGCCTCACGCGTCCCGCCTCCTCCTTAGCTAGCATGACTGCTTCGCAAAAGGAGGAGACGGCATCCCAGTCCCCCTCGCTCCGCATCATGGCCTGCACTAGGCCCGGACGCGAGAGGTCGCCATCGCCGATCACTTCCCTGAGGGCACGGCGGTGCTCAGCCCACGCAGGGCATTCTCCCACTGTGTGTTCCACCGTGTCCTCAGGGCGGTCCTCGCAGTGATGACACCCGGGCGTTTCCTCCCGCCCCATCAGACACAGGTACCTCCCGAAACTTCCATGTCCGGTGAGGACCTGCGTCAGGCGGTAGGTGAGGACGCCGTAGCGTCTCACAAGCCACTCCTCAAAGAGGGGACTTACCGCTGCAATGGCAGCGAGCCCAGCCCTCGGTTGCGACAGTCGTTGCTGCCATTCCGCCATGAGATCGCGCCGGAGCTCATCCCGCCACGCACTTATCTGGCGCGGCAGCGGAGTTTCGCCCCGGCGACGTGCCTCCGCGCGCATGTTATACACGCGCGCGAGCACCTTCGCCTCCAGATCCCACGGCGGTAATCCGGCTCGTAGGATACGTGACGACGACGCGAAGCCTCATTGTTTGCACTTCTGTAAAATTGAAATGGTTGAAGAATTGGAAATAAAGAGTAACAATAATAATATTTTGAAAAGTGTGCTATGCTACGTTGCTGTGGATACATATGGATGCGTGCTATGGAATGGATGTGTGTGGAGTACCTAAAGTAAGCTGCGAATCTTCCTCACGCTGCTACTTTGCGGTGACGCATCTTCATAGCACATCTTACTCGCACCGCCACATAGCTTAGTATCAGTGGAAACGGTCACATAATTTCCCAGCTTAGCTATTACACCCTCACAGCATAGCTACATAGCACAGCTCTGGTGGAAAAGCACCCTTATTCTTACCGCATTGACAGATACATTGACAATCAGAAGTGAATATTTTGAAGTCAAATTCACCATGCTGTATTTCCACTTAAAGCCATTAAATTTACAGAAAGCCATCGACAACTAACCAGGGTGTTTCATATTATGACGTACGTTAAACTGTAAGTCAGTTTAACGTACGTCATAATATGAAAAAAGAACGAGGCAGTTATCGGCCGTAAATTAAAACCAACTAAATTTTAAAAAAGAAAAAAGAGGTGATTCAATGTGCTCATTTTATTGTGTACGGCGGCGATCATTTGACATAGTTAAATCAAATTCATTTTTAAAAAAATCAATTAAACACATAAACACACACGAACATACGCGCAAGCGCCTTGCGCTCCATCCGTCTTACGAATTTTCGATCAGGTCACGTGTTCTGACGCAATTAACATTTTTTACCCATTACAAAAAAAGTGTATAACGCCACTAACTTCACTTCAATAATATATTTTCAGTAAAAACTGAGAAAACAAGCATTTATCATCAAGTGAGTTCATTAAAAATTTGGAATGACTTACCATTATTAAAAGTAACTTCCAACTTTCCTGTTCCATCATTGCTGGCAACAACAGCTTCTCCTGATATCGTTTCTAGTCCTTCATTAACAACTTGACTATTCAATACGGAGACGGCGCCACTAGTAAGTAACTCGTATTTAGCACGGTTACACTGTCCACTTTGTGTTGGCTGCGGGTATCTAGAGACTTCTATCCATTCACCCTTGTACTGGCAGAGAATAAAATGTTACAATCACGTAATGTGTTTATGTAGATATAGAATATTTTCTTTTATTTATATTATTTTCTAAATATTCATTTTTGATACTTAAACGATACACAACGAGTATGTGTTTTTTCTTACGTTACTTAATACAATAATTTATTAAAAACAAGATATTCACTTTTTCCGCATCGAAATCCGCAACTCCTTTAATACTGGTGTCACAAGATCCAGTCAGCTCGACGTAATCCCATGTTGGATCAAACTCTGGATAATAGAAACAATCGTCTGGTTCTTGGCGTGTGGGCTGATAGTATTCTTTATGGAGACCTTGGGTGCTGCTGACGACTGCATCAATGTCAGATTGGTCCTCAGAGCTCAGTGTTCCTGTTTTGCTAAGCACCCAACTGCCGACTAAAGAAAGGAAAGCATAATAAGTAGGTAACTTTTTTAGAAAACAAAAAATATATATTAGTAAGTAAATAGTCTCTGAAATTACCTCGTCTGTTTCCATTTTCTAAAGTATCGCAGGTGTATACAAGAGCATAACTGTTGTAGTTGGTAGCAAGGACGTAATAATCTGACCGTCTATCCTCTAAAATAATTAATTTGGCATTATTTACAATTTGTTTATATTCAGAAACGGTGTATCTCAAAAAACCGACTTCAAAAACCAAAAACTAATAACAAACAAAAAGTGCGAATTAAAAAAAACCTACTATATACTATATCATTATAACCTATAGGTTACCCACCCACTGATGGGTTAGAAGTCGGCGCCATAAGTTCTATACACAATTATTTATTAAAACCTTAATAGATACCTAATTTACAATTTTGTGGCAAGTAAGTTATATCATTATGATATGAGGTTATGACACCGATTTCTAACCTTAGAAGTCGGTGGGTATCAGTGGGTGGGTAACCTATCAGTACTAATGATAGTTATTTTTTTTCTTTTTAGTTTTGACTTATTGTTTGCTATTAGTTTTTGGCTTTTTGAAGTCGGTTTTTTTAAACGCAGTTTTTATTTTATTATTTTATAATTTCAGTGTAAGGCTACATAGATCTGTTTGTTCTAATCAATACAAATTATACAAGCTCAAACACCAGGTAGTTACTGTAGACCGTTGAGGGATTCCTTTAACAATTACACTTATTTATCATCAGACCCTAAAGGACAGCCCCACTCTATCTAGGTATAAAATCCTCATCAATACAAATTAATCAAGCCCAAACACAAGGTGGTTAATATTAAGCGCTAAGGAGTTCTCTCGACTGTCTGTCGGCTCCATCATCAGGTCGACTCCACAGCCTTATCAAATTGTAGAAAACAAGAATTTTAGATATCGGTTCACAAATGGCGAAGAAACAAAAAAAAACAACCAGCCGAACATAGTACCTCCTCCTTTTTTTGAAGTCGGTAAAATAGGATTGCATTGAGTCTTGAAAAACTGGCGACTTGTAATATTTTTATCTTCCTTTCATTGATGATGGAATTGAAAGATGAAGGATGTTGAATTGCTGACTTAACCTTAGTCTAATAAAAGTATAATAGTCAGGTTGGACTCTTTAGATTTTGTCCATTTCTTTTGACGAAGTGGTAAAACGATTGTAAGCATTTTTTTTGGTTTTCAGTGATGAATTTAGGTAATTTTTTACGCTCGTATTTACTTTAGATACCAATAGTATACCTAACGCGACATTGATGTTTTAATGCATAAAGCGACATCCGTTTATTTAGATTCAGTTTGGTATCTAGTAGCAGTAGCTAGATCCTATTACATATCTAACCTGCTAAACAGAAACTTTGTGTCCACATCAAAAAAGGTCAACATTTGTAACTGCACAAAAATGTACTGTTGGTACAGGTAGATAGTTAAAATCTTTTCGGCTGTAGGAAATTTAACAAAAATTTCTATAGATAGCGCTGGTTGACTTCATTCATCAGTACTTTACGGTATATAGATTTTAACTACTTAAAACTTTTTATAATTTAATTGTTTTTCAAAATACGTTAACTTGTTTTTCTTTTATTGATTATAACACGTACTTTTTTCTTGAAATCTTGATACAATACGATCGTTTTCCAAGTGATGAACGAACGAAGTTTTTTAGTTGACAATAATACGCGATTCCTGCTCGAAGTAAATTTTTGTGTGCCGTGACTATTGCCGTGACCTTCACGCATGCGTGGTGCAGATTTGTGATGTCAAAACCAGCAACCAAAGTTTAGCTGATTGTTCTGACATCACGATAAGGGTGACAAATCTACATCAAGCTATGCAGCGCCGTACTGGGCTCGCTGTGCTGTGTTTCTTGAGCTACGTTTTTTTTTCCTAGTATTAGTACCCAGTATTATAAAAGTAATCTACAACTCGTGCAGTCGTTTATGTCGTTAAAAATGACTTTATTTTCAAAAACCGCAATAAACAATAAAATAAAAACATATATAACTTCATAAAAAACAGCACACTTCGGCACAGCGCCGCTCAGCGCGGCGGCGAGTAGCGCGCCTCGCTCGACACTGCTGCTTTTTTAAACAGATCGTAGCCTCACATAATATCCCTATTAAAATATTAGACGAGCGAGTTGACCAAACATAGCACATGTTGATTTGTCACCCTTATGTACGTGGTGAGTGCCGCGCGCCTTCATTGCTTTTTCAAAAGCGTGCGGTCCGTGTATTTGTGAATGCATAATTATGTTAGGCGTTTTTTAAAAATTTTATTGTACATGTTATTGAATTTAAATATACGCGTTTGTCCATCATTTTATGTTTGTTATTTGTTCACAATATTTGTAATGTAGACAAAGTCTTTGTCTTTGTAGGTAGACAAAGTATTTGCCTATAAGTAATTATGGACAGTACGCCACTGGTTCCTCTATTGAGAAATTTAAGCAAACCAAATTTCTCCACTAATAACCTACTGCATATCAAAAAAATGACTGTACTACAAATTAACTACTTACAGATTACATCGTAAAACAAAAATACTGATTTGCACACAATTTGTCCAATATTACAACGGAATTTCCAAAATATGTACATTTACAGGTTAGGCTAGGTTACTACTTATTAGATAGTATAATAATAGTATAAAGAAAGGATTTATACTGTGGTAGGTATAATTGATTTATTTGATGAGCAAATTTATTTATACTTATTGCACATACATATTGTAAAAATAGTAATTTGAGTACAATGGGCGGTCTTATCACACGTGGCGATTTCTTCCAGACAACCTATGGATGGAATTTTTGAAAAGAATTTAGTGTGTAATTCAGTATTTTTGGTGGTAATTTCGAATATTTTGATTAAAAAAATGGAATTTACAGTGAAAGTATTAAATACCACCCATATGTTTCTATTACTTTCTAAGTTTACTACCTATAATACGGATAATAATTAACGTAAACCAAAATAATTATTTAAAACAATTAAATTGCTTACCGCCATTGACATTGAAAGTAACTTGCAGCTTTCCAGTTCCATCTGTGCTGGCAAGAACTACCTGTCCTGATATCGTTGCAAGTCTTTCGTTCACAATTTGACGGTTTGTTACTGAGATGGTGTCATCAGGAAGTAACTCGTATTTAGCACGGTTACACTGACCAGTTTGTGTTGGCTGCGGGTATCTAGCGAGTTCTATCCATTCCCCCATGTACTGCAAAAGAATGAAATATTATAATCAAACGAAATAATCACGTACTTTATGTATAATAATTTCTTTGGATATTTCCAAATGCATATTTTTGATGATTAAGAGCGTTAACGCCGTCCTAGCGGGATTTGGTTAAAAACTGCACTTTTCAAACGCGTTTTGACGATAAACTATTTATCTTACAAACATGTTAGGTAATTACCAATAACTTGGAATTTCCTAACCTAGAGAATAGCTTTTTCTATTAAGGTAGTATTTGTACAGTACATCAGATTAACTTGACAGAGGTATCCGTAATTTCCCTTAAAGCATCTTTTTTCAAGTCAATTTATACTCATATTCTCTGGATCACATTCCGAGTTTAAAGCACGGAAAAGGCAACGAAACAATTGCAATTCAACAAGTTGCTGAACAAGCCAATATTAGTAATAGTTAGTAAATAAATGTGGCCTTTTTACCGACTTATAAAAAAAGGAGGACGTACTATGTTCGGCTGATTGTTTTTTTTGTTTGTTCGCGCATTACTCCGCCATTTGTGAACCGATTTCCAAAATTCTTTTTTTGTTTTAAAGGGTATACTCCTAAAATGGTCCTAGTTCCATGAGGTCAGGTTCTGATGATGAGATCCTAACTTTCGAAAATTCTAGGGGCGAGTAATGCGTCTATTATATTTTTCAATTAGGAATTTTAAATACTACAATTTGATAAGGGTCTGGAGTCGACCTGATGATGGCGCCGACAGACAGCCGAGAGAACTCCTCAGCGGCTTATATTAACTACCTTTTGTTTGGGTTTGATTAATTTGTATTGATGAGGAATTTGGACCTAGATAGAGTGGGACTGTCATTAAGAGGCTGATGATGAAGAAGTGTAATTTTTAAGGGAACTCCTCAACGGTGTACAGTAACTACTTTGTGTTTGGGCTTTATTAATTTGTATTGAAGAGAACTTTGCACCTATTCAGATTACAAGAGACAAAATGGATCTATGTAGCTTTACACTGAAAATGATAAAATAAAAACTGCGTTTAAAAAACTGACTTCAAAAAACCAAAAACTAATAACAAACAAAAAGTCAACCCTAAAAATAATAAAATAATTATCATTAGTACTGATAGGTTACTCACCCACTGAGGTTAGACGTCTGGCGCGTCTGGTGCGTTAAAATAATATTAAAAAAAACCTAATCTCGCCGACCCACGCGAAGCGTCGACGCTCTTAATGAACATCAAGTATTCAATATTATGTATGTTCTTTCATTTTCTAATAATGCAATTTAAAAGAAAATACATACTTCATCCAAATTGAATTCCTTCATTCCTTTGATTCTATCGTCGCAAGCTCCAGGAAGCTCGACGTATTCCCATGTTTGATCAAAATCGGGGTAGTTATAACAGTCGTCTGGTTCCTGGCTTGTGGGCTGGTAGTAACCTTCGAATATATCTAAGGTGCCGCTTAACTGGACTTTTTCATTAATCGCATTATTGTTATCTGGGTTCAGTTTTTCGGTTCTGCTAAGCTTCCAACTGCCGACTTAAAATAAGGATAGAGTAAGTAGAAATATAGTGGCTGAAAACAAAGCGTGAATAGTAGATAACTTTTTTCTTTGGGTTTACCTCGTCGATATCCGTTTCCTACATTGGAGCAGCTGTACACAAGAGCATATTCTTTGTAGTCGGTCGCAAGGACGTAATAGTCCACGGTGTGATCTGAAACATGTTTTGTTTGCAGTAGTTGTAGCTTATAGCTAACAATATTAGGTATATATTAACCAGTTTATATAGGAAATTTGCTATGCTATGGATTAATGTTCTTATATCTTTGATCAACTACAAGTAACTAGATAACATAACATAACGTCATGCCTTTTATCCCCGAAGAGGTAGGCAGAGGTGCACATTATACCACTGTACAATGTAACACCCACTTTTCACTTTTTATGTTATGAGTCCCATGTAATAGGGGGTGAGCCTATTGCCATATACTGGGCACAATTCCAGACTCCGTGCTACTACTGAGAATATTTAAAAACCCAGTAATACTTTGCCCGACCCGGGAATCGAACCTGAGACCCCTTGCCCGGCAGTCGCACTTACGACCACTCGGCCAACGAGGCAGTGTACTAGATAACGCATCACTAATAAAAACTGTTTGTGTCTACAATATACTGATAATTTGAGAAAAACCTCAGTAAAACATAAATAAGTTTGTTTTGCTATAAACCTTCTCTGTAATGAACAGAGTCGAATTACAATCCAGGATGAGTGTCGATTACGACGTTTATCGTCATATCGAAATAGAAAGAATTGTCAGTAGAATATAAAAAAAATTGTTACATCTAAAGTAACAACAAATATTCAACAAAAATGACTCTGACGACCTCACTCTCACCATCAAGAATAAATGGTATAATTTGATATTTTTAGAATTCGTTTAGAAGAGGGAAAGAACTGAAGTTGGGTAGGTACCTAATTGATTTAGTAGGACGCGTGGGAATGAATACGAGTGTAAATAGATTTATTACACATATAGCAATTTAAAAAAGGAGATGGTCATTACGTCTGTTTAAGATATTTATATTAGGTATTTCATTGTATGTAAGTCCGGGAATGACTCATATAAGGACGGATTGGTGAATTACAAATTGGTCCCTATAAATTTCCTAAATATCTGATGAAGACTTGGATTAAGACGACCAAACAAACACCCATATTTTTCAACAATTAAACTAACTTAAACATGTTTTTGTTTTAATTAGCGTCTCCATCGCATATTGTTCAATTTGATCAAGACTCTTGGTAGTCATTCAATATTCCCGAACAAATTTAAGGTCTTTTGAATTGGGTATTTACCAACTAGTCAAATTTAATCATTTTATTCGAACTGTAAAAACTACAGTTTTTTTTTAATTTTGCGAGATTGTGAATTGTGACGTCACGTTTTATTTGCGACAAACAGCATACTTATTTCTTAAAAAAATGCTAGAAAAATGCTAAAATTAACCATTAATTGGTCATTAAATCAATTAATGTAAGTGTGATTATTTTATAATATTTTATTGTATTGAACAGTCGAATTAGTTTATTTTTCATTAAGAAAAGTACCCAATTGTAAACATGAGCATGTCAACGTCAGCTGTCGAAATATTTTGTTTTACTGCTAAAAGGTTAAATGTTGTATGCTATTTTATGAGACGCAAAAACTCCAATTACGTCATAAGTTGCAAACTTATAGAAAATTTAAAAAAAGTAGGTACCTAAAATAATTAACGTTTTCGAATTTCGATAAAAGTACTTAATTAATTTGATTCAACTACCATATTGCAGAGAAATAGATGAACACATTTTTGAAGTCAATAAAACAAAGTACTGCATTTAATTAAAGTAAAGTTTTTAAAAAATGACTCACCGTTGATAGTAACTCGCAATTTTCCGGTTCCATCGTCGCTAACAGTAGCCTGTCCTGATATCGTTTGGAGTTTTCCGTCAGTAACTTGACTGTTTGTTACTGAGACCGCGCCATCAGGAAGTACCCCAGCAGTGTATTCAGCACGGTTACACTGACCAGTCTGTGCTGTCTGTGGGTATCTAGCTACTTCTTGCCATTTTCCTAAATACTGGCGAAAGAATGAAATATTTTAATCCAAAATGAAAGTAGTAAATAATCAGTACAATGTTAGAATGTGTGCCTGTTATTAATTCGATAAAAATCTTACTTCCAAGATATTGAAGTCGGAAACATGGGTGATACTAATGGTGTCACAAGCTCCAGGCAGTTCGATGGGTTCTTGAACTGTGCATTCCTGGGATGTAGGAAAATATAGTTCAGGATCAAGAATGCCCTGGTCGGCAATAAACTGATCCATTTGCTGCTCATAATGTGGATCTAAAGAAGGCGTTCGGCTCATTTTCCAACTGCCCACTGCAAAGGTAATAATTGATTGGTAACTAAATTTGTAACCATACAAAAATAATCGTCACGTCTGTTTTCCAATTGGGGTAGGCCTCTGCCTGTGAGGAAGTGGAATACCAAATATACTGTAAATATCTTTTATTTGCTGATGATCTCAAAATTTATGAAACCCTTACATCAAATGACGGTACTACCCTATTTCAAGAGAATTTAGATAGAATTGAGCAATGGTGCGAACTGAATCACATAAAAGTTAATGTACAGAAATGTGGCCATATAGATTTAGTAGGAAGAGACAAACTAATCCTGTTTCATTTACACTCCATACAGATAAATAAAATTGGATTGTTTAGTTTGTAATTATTTTTATGTTAACTAGAACTCTTTTTACATCATTGTTTCTGTAGTTTTTTATCACTTAATTTAAAGTTAGTTACCTCATCTATAATTGGTGACTGTATATATGCCCAATATTTATTGTTTTTTCATTAACACTATGTATACAAAAACCGTTAATAATTAGAACATAATAACTAAATATTACAATTCCCGAATACTTTTTAACCAATTGATTAAATTACATGCATCACATTTTTATACATAAATAGTACACGACTATGGTGATAAATTTTTTTTAATCCTTTTTATTTTAGGGACTTTTATACCGCACAGCGTATGTCAGTCCCATCGTAAACTAATAAGGTATAAATCAAAGAGATCAATGAATTAGAGGCATGTAGTCGATATGTTACTGTAGGATACATTAAAAAGGCCTTTTTTACGGCATAAGTGTTGAGAACTGCGGGTTAATAATATCTCCGTTTAATGTGTGTGCACCCGTGGCCTACTAGCTAAGGACTAAAAAAGGAGGCGGAAAAACAGATGTAGAATTTTTTCGAAACCGCTATGTTGGCTAAGAACTTGCACCAGTCGATGGCTATCATGTTACTTTTCCATGCATTCTCTATCTCTGACTACCTATTCGTCAATGTTGTTTTGAAAACCAAATATTTAGCATCACTTTACTTCGGCAAGGAATTAGTTTAAAGCCTTTAATAGTTGTGCTCACGGTCACTTTACCGCACTGTGATGTGTATATATTAATATATAATTTATTAAATACCTAGGTTGAGAATTATATCTTTGATAATCTTGCATCGACATAAGATTGTATAACGTCTTAAACATATTCTGCACTAATGCAAATAAATCCTACATTATGAATAATATTTAATTATAATTACATTGGCTTCCGCTTCCATCGTCCAGTGGACTACAACTGAACAAAACTGCGTAATGCTGAGTAAAAGTCAAAACTCGAAGTGTTGACTCTCTCGATTCTGAAAAGTAAAAATAGTTTGATTTAAATGGTCATACCACAAATAATGAAAAGGACATACACATATGTTCTATATTTAAATATAATTTTAAAGCAAAGCAAACTATATTCACCACAAAAATAAAGTTAGTCAGGTTCAACTTAATGGGTATAGAGATACGGTGGATTTAGTCACCCTATAGCTCATTCTCAGCTCAACTCATTGTTATTACTGTAAAGTAAAAGCTTGAGAATATATTATATATGAAGTTAAAGTCAAAACTCGAAGTGTTGAATCTTTTGATTCTAAAATATTAAAATTTCAATGTTTATTGCACAAATAATAAAAATAACATAATAAATCATAAATTCATCATAAATATAAAGTTAGTCAGGTTCTTCTTAATGGCGGGTATTGAGATACGGTGGATTTAACCACACTCCCCGAGCCACCCTATGGCTCATTCTCAATTCAACCCATTGTTATTATTGTAAAGTAAGAGCTTGAAAATTACATTACTATGAGACAGTAATTGTAAATCTAGGCAAGTCAATGGCCAAATGCCATCGTATTTAAGTACAATAAAAAAGTAACGAGATATCATTACATTTTAAGGTTATTTAACTGGTTTATCAAAGTAACTATATCTGAATACTATCAAAAATTATGTGATATAATCAACTTACGGCCTCCATCAGTGAATGTAACCGTAAATTGTCCATTCACACCGGGCGTAGGTGTGGCTGTTCCTGATACGAAATCCCATCTTCCGTCTACAACGTGTCTGTTCACAACTGTGAATTGACTATTTGCATCCGGTTTCCAGTATTCAGCTCGGTTACACTGACCAGATTGTTTCGGCTGATAGTATCTACCAATGTCATACCAGGTGCCAATGAACTGTTAACAAAAGGAAAAAAATACAGTTTGGATTTAAAAAAGTGCCAGTTGTGAAAGCTAATCCAATAATTTCCTTTATACTTTTAATCGACTTTAAAAAATGAGGTTCTTAGTTTGACCTGTATGTTTGTTTGATTGGCTGAACCGATTGTGATGCGGTTTTAGAAAAGTGTTTGTTAAACTTAGGAGAAAGTGTTTTAGTACATTAATAAACCGACTTCAGAAAGAGAGGTTTGAAGTCAATTGTATTAAACGTATTTGTAAGTTTTGAAAATTAAATTATATTTTATTTTTTAATATTTTATTAAAATCGATTCAGTAGTTTAAATCATATATCAGCAAAAAACGCTCTTAGCTGTTTTAGTTTTGATAATACCTCTACATTCTAAGGTAATTATTACCACCCTGGTTACGTTATGAATTGTTATTGAATAAATAATCTAAACAGTAATTAGTGTGCATCAGAAAGGCACGTATTTTTTTCTGTAAGTAGGGAATTCATCGAATGACTTCTCCCGCCTGGGTGAGCCGGGAGGGAGTGTTAGACTCTTCCTGACTAAAAACCACCCCGTTCCTACTTCTGTCCTTCTAGCCGAAGCCCCGATAATCCATTAAGTCCGCGGAATGCGCTTTTCAAACGCGTTTTGACGATAAACTAGTAATCTTACAAACAATTTATTACCAATAACTTTAAAGAATTTCCTAGTCAGGAAATGGCTTACGTATTTTTTTCGATTTAGGGAATATTTGTACAATACATCGAAATAATCATACATTTAGTCATTAGGTATTTTTCTAGAAAATTTTGAAAACGTTATACAACATGCTACCGCGCGGTCTATTGTAATCAGTCGCCTATGAGGCTTTCCAGAGAGAGGACCTCGGTTAATCTTTTCCACAATGGAGGCAATTTAAACAGGGATCAAATAAACATTTTTTTACTGATGTACCTAATTCTAAGAAGTTGGCTGCAAGATATTTTTAACTTTTTGTCATGGATGTTGTTTTATAGTTCGAGGGTGATAACTGATAACGATATCAAAACAGATATTCACGATGGCGGCTCTATTAAATTTCCAACGTTTCGTCATGAGAGTCATCTTCGTGGTTTTCAAGGGTGGTAAAACTGATGGACTTGTCAAAATGTAAATTCAAGGTGGCGGCTGACTGAAAGGGCGTTGACTAAAATTGGTGTCTTTCTTTATTTTGGCGGCAATCGATGATTGTGAAAAATATTATCTATAATGACATTACAATCATATCATGTAAGTACCTACATAAATAATACCTACATGATAGGTCGTCATTAAATAGGTACATACAAAGAATTAAATTTTATAAAACCAACGTTTTATTTACAAATGGATAAATCATGCAGTAATGTATAATTCTAATAAACACTCACTGTAATGAATAAAAAAGTATTTATTAAATATATTAAATGAAGTAAGCTATTTACTATTATAAAATAATTTACTATTACGTTCCAATGGATCAAAAGTTCAAAACTCATTCGTCCGACTGATACGCGATAAGAACCGCTCAACCATGGTGATTATTACTGTGGTTTAATGCTACGCACGCATGCGCTTGCCGCCGTCTGGTACGTGAAAATTGTGTTAAAAAACCTAAAATCAACGACCCGCGCGAGGCGTCAAAGCTCTTAAGGGCCGATTTTTCAATGCTCAGATAAATTTTATCACAGGAATAACTTTTACTATTTGACAATTTTTCCATGCTTATAAATACATACCTAGTCAATGTTATTTTACAGTTAAGAATTAACTGTTCATTGAAAAATCGGCCTTAATCTGTCAAACACCAAGCGGTCACCGGTGACCGCGACCTATTGTTCTTTAATTGTGTCTATAAAACCGGTACTTGACGAGTTAAGACTATCATATAATCTAACAACGTAACGATTAAAGAATCAAAGATAAGTGCAAATATCTGTGTACTTAATCTTTTAAACTTTTAGTGATAAAAAATTTGCAACAATTTTAAGTGTGTTCGTATTATCTTGGATAATTCATGTACTATACTAATCACTTTTATTTATTAAAATGTCGAGGGGCCACCTTCATACGTTATTTTTTACCGACTTCAAAAAAAGGAGGAGGTATTATGTTCGTCTGATTGTTTTTTTTTGTTTGTTCGCGCAATATTTCGCCGTTTGTGAACCGATATCCAAAATTCTCGATTTATTTGAAAGGGTATACTCCCGAGATGGTTCATTTCCATGAGGTCAGGATCTGATGATGGGATCCTAGGGAAACCGAAGGGAACTTTCGAAAATTCTAGGAGCGAGTAATGCGTCTATTATGTTTTTCAATTAGGATTTTTAAACGCTACAATTTGATAAGAGTCTGAAGTCGACCTGATGATGAAGTCGACAGTCGAGAGAACTCCTCAGCAGTTTAAATTAACTACTTTGTGTTTGGGCTTGATTATTTTTGTATTGATGAGGACTTTACACCGAAATAGATTGGGACTGTCATTAAGGGTGTGATGATGAAGAAGTTTAATTGTTAAGGGACTTCCTCAATGGTATACAGTAACTAAGTACTTTGTGTTTGTGCTTAATTCATTTGTATTGATGAGGACTTTACACCGAAATAGATTGGGACTGTCATTAAGGGTGTGATGATGAAGAAGTTTAATTGTTAAGGGAACTCCACAACGGTATACAGTAACTACTTTGTGTTTGGGCTTCATTAATTTGTATTGATGAGGACTTTACACCTAGACAGAGTGGGACTGTCATTAAGGGTCTGATGATGAAGAAATGTACTTGTTAAGGGACCTCCTTAACAGTATACAGTAACGTGGCAAAAAGCTTTACACTGAAAATGATAACACTACGTTTAAAAAATCCTGCTTCAAAAAACCAAAAACTAATAACAAACTAAAAGTCAAAACTTAAAAGAATCAAATAACTATCATTAGTAATAGGTTACCCACCCACTGAGGTTAGAAGTCGGTGCTATAAACTCATATCATAATGATATAACTTAATGGCCACATAATTGTAAATTAGGTATCTATTGCGGACTGCCTCTTTGGCCGAGTGGTCGTAAGTGCGACTGCCGGGCAAGGGGTCTCGGGATCGATTCCCAGGTCAGGCAAAGTATTACTGGGTTTTTAAATATTCACAGTAGTAGCACGGAGTCTGGAATTATGCCCGGTATATATGGCAATAGGCTCATTACATGGGACTCATAACATAAATAGTGAAAAGTTGGTGTTACATTGTACAATGATATAATGTGCACCTCTGCCTACCCTTTCGGGGATAAAAGGCGTGATGTTATGTTAGGTATCTATTAAGGTTTTAATGAATAATTTTGTATAGAACTTATGGCGCCGACTTTAACATCAGTGGGTGGGTAACCTATCAGTACTAATGATAGTTTTTTTTTCTTTTTAGCTTTGACATTTTAGAAGTTCTTAGCTTTTGGTTTTTTACTCACGTAAAAATACATGAATCCATATTCATAATCATCATTTGCCTGTTTTAAGATATTGTACAGAGTATTTGGGGCATCGTGTGTCAAATTGCAATGGTCGACAGAAGGGGTCATCTACTAACCCTTCAGGCTCCTTAATACCCCTCATGCTCTGAATTTTTATTTCGACGTTTTGTTGTTTTACTAAAACAAAACCCAAGTTTTACATTTAAACACAAAGGACATTGCTCTGCGTCCATACATTGTTGGCCCTGGAGGCAAGAGTATCAGATAATTATGTATTGTATTCTCTATCATTTGTAGACTCTTAGAAGATCTTGTTTTTATAGCGGACTAGCTGCAGAAAAGATATATTTCAAAAAAGTATTCGTTTTTGAGAATAATCTAACCATAACAACGAATTATTGAACGAATGTTAAATGTTTGAATGATTCTATAGAAATAAAGAAGTTTTTATTACTGTATAACATAATTTTTACTACCTATTTAAATTGGAGTATGACTGCATTCATAAAGAAAAAAAAAACACCAACAATCGACTATAATTGATTGGACATCTCTATTTCACTTTCGACACGACATGACATTAGACTTGCTGATTTATTTATTTATTACTTTAGGCGAAGGCATTTGACATAAGGCGAAGATAGCGATCGAATGTTACGGTACTATGTTATGGTACATTTTGGAATACAGTTAGTCCGTGATACAGAAGTATTTGCAATTAATAATTGTATTTCTAATGCTCTTTATAGCACACAGTCTTTTAAACTGTCAAACACCAAGCGGTCACCGGTGACCGCGACCTATTGTTCTTTAATTGTGTCTATAAAACCGGTACTCGACGAGTTAAATAAATGTAAGGCGTAGACTTAGAATTTTAATTTAATTTGATGTGTATTGTTCAATAGTGCTTTGTACTCCTTTTGTCGACCAAAGGGTCGTGATCTCTTTCATATCCCTTCCCCCTGTTATCAGGCAATTAAATTTGGCAGACTATGTACCAAACACCCTGTATATATAAAATTAAATTCATCAGTGTGTTAATCATGCAAAATTTTGAATTATATTGGCTAATAGGGATTATCCTTTTTGTGATAACGAAACAGTGTTAACATTTTTGAGATCCTGTTTGACAATTACAGTAGATATCAAATTATAATGTCGTTGAATGATCGTTGAAAAAAATGGTGTCATAGTGTAGATTACTAATTTCTATTTTAATGTCAGTCTGGTAGATTATTTAAAAACCTTTAGGCACTTATTTTTGAAATATGGCGTTATTTACCTAATTTCACACTCACAACAATAAAAAACTCACAACAATAACGGACTACTTAGTCCGATAAGTAAGGAGATAAATATAGGGGTCACCTGAAATTTTTCCGAGAGTTTTTATAATCTGCAATTTTGTAGATTTTGATGTGCTCTTTTCGATTTTCATTTTGCATCTTTGTGCGTGCGCCGTTCCCGCCACCATCTTAGAAAAATGGCGGCCTAAAACAGTTTTTTTACAATATCTCTTTTTCTGTGCATTTTACGAGAAAACCGTGAACTACGAAATTAAAAAACTCACAATTTTATACATGCAATGCCTGTCTGGAGGTTTTTCGTAATATATTATATTTTGGTAATAGAAATGTTCTTTGCAGTGTTCTGGCGCCAAAACTACTTTTTGCAATGAACAACTAATTGTTTGCAACAATGGTGGATCTAAGAATGCGCAAAGGACAAATGATATCTCAATATAAAAGCAAACTTTATGCAGGTGGTTATAAAACATACATACATACATAACATCACGGCTTTTATCCCTGAAGGGGTAGGCAGAGGTGTACATTATGCCACTGTACAATGTAACACCCACTTTTCACTATTTATGTTATAAGTCCCATGTACTAGGGGGTGAGCCTTTTGGCATATACCGGGCACAATTCCAGACTCCGTGTTACTACTGAGAATTTTTTAAAAACCCAGTAATACTTTGCCCGACCCGGGAATCGAATCCGAGACCCCTTGCCCAGTAGTCGCACTTGCGACCACTCGGTCAACGAGGCAGTTATTAAAAATCTTTACTTAAAAAGAGTATTTTTACTATAAGTCCTTTCATATAGGTATAACAGATTATCCATACACTAAACCCATTACAGTATTTAAAAAGCAGCTGACAAAGTTATCATTAGACAAGTGTTACTACTTGCTCCAATTCTTAAGGTGGTATACGTTTCTGTTAATCTGAATTTCTGATGTTATATTAAAATTAATTTTGTGTCACTTGTATTTTGCCTGATTCTGATTATGTATTACTTTTCTATCTATAAGTTACGCATCTCATTGTACTCGTACATATACTTAAATAATAAAGATTTTGAATGTGTAAAAATTGTTTTATATTTTAATAATGCAATTATTATGACAAATATAAAATAATGTGTATATTCAATTCACTTATTTTCTTTAATGGTACTTAACTATGCCATTGTTGGTCTGATTATTCTGTGTACTGCAAGAAATTAGCTTTTACTCACATGTTTATTGATAAAGATTGTACACCCCAAGGGTATGTTACAGTGGTACTAATCTAAATGATAATTTTAAGAGCTAAATTTACACCCGTGACAAACAATGAATGCATTTGGATATAAATTTTGTATTTGAAATATTGTAAACACAAATAGGTACGTACTGAGTAAATAAGATAAGACTGCCTCGTTGGCCGAGTTGTTGCAAGTGCGACTGTCGAGTAAGGGGTCTCGGGTTCGATTCCCCGGTCGGGCAGAGTATAACTGGGTTTTTAAATCTCAGTAGTAGCACGGAGTCTGGAATTGTGCCCGATATATGGCAATAGGCCCTGTTACACAAAATAGTGAAAAGTGGATGTTACACTGTACTGTGGCATAATGTGCACCTCTGCCTACTCTTCGGGGATAGAAGGCTCACGCCTTCACGCATTATGTTATATTATGTAAATAAGATAATAAATGCAAGTTACTTTAATAAAAAACTTCAGTCTACTACCCCATCATAATGAATGTATCGAACACACAGCTCATTTACATTTCGACTAGCTAATTTCGCTCAGTTACACCCGCTCTGCTCGAGGTCTATAGGTCGTAGCGTGATGTTTTATAGTTTATAATTATTATCTTCCTCAGTCAATGCATCATCTAGAGGTAACAAAATATCTAAATCAGTTGCTCTAATGTTACTAACCTTTATATTGGTAGTACGGTTGGTATAATGGTTGTCCACATCCACCGGCGCAGGTGGTTGCTCATAAAGTGTCGCGAGCTCGATTTCGGTACATAGAACAACTGATTGCGTTACTCCCAAATTGTTGGGTGTGATGTGAATGTGTGTGAATTTATATGGATGTACAAAAAGAAAATCATCGAAACGTCAGGCAATTCGAGCAAAACCAGAGTGTCAAGCACGAATAACTATCGCATTCGTAACGTAATAGTATCGAGCGCGTTCGGCGCTCTGATTGGCCGGCTCAAGTGAACCAACCAATCAGAACGCTTAACTCGTTCGATACTGTTACGATACGATTGCAATAGTTATTCGTGCTTAGCCCTCTGGACGTGTCGTTGGCTGCGAATACAATGTGCCTCATAGAAACATCTACCCACCAGAGATGGGTCCCAGTAAAACTGATACCTACCCCGCAGCAGCTGTGACCTAGCGGGTTTCTTGGATTTCGACTCGTAGCAAGGGTAGGAATGGGGTGGTTTCTGATGATTAAGAGTCTGACGCTGCACTCATCTTACTCATCTTACTCAAACATTTATTTATTCTTAGTTCTTTTAATAATATAACTTACAAATATTTCAATAGAACGGACGTTATATACTTTTTAATTTCGAAAGCATTTTAAAAGGTATTCACTTCCGTCCTCAACTTCCGTCATAATAGGTACTCGGTGATAGTTCTGTTACTTTTTGGCTGAATTTCAGGTTTTGAACAGGCAAAGGTATTATAGCTCATACAGTCAAGTCTTTGTAACAACACTCTTAACTCGTCGAGTACCGGTTTTATAGACACAATTAAAGAACAATAGGTCGCGGTCACCGGTGACCGCTTGGTGTTTGACAGTTTAATAAGAGTTTGACACAGACAAGGCTTGGTATTCTCAACACTTGATATAAGACGATTATTTTTAGTTACAAAGAGTCCGCTATGATGGCGTAGATCACAGCTTATCAAAAGACTTGATTGAAAGCGCTATTTGAAACAAGCAATAATATCGACACTGATAGTTGATGAATTGACAGATGAAATTTGGTAGTAATGTTACTTGGCGCGCATTCTCTGCTCGATCTGCGTTTGCGTACTGATTTCGTTACTATACTTTTCCGATTTTATCTAACAACTTGGCGAGAATAAAGATTGTGATTTCCTCTTGAAATATAAACCTCTGGCTGAGTTTTGATTAAATGAATTGAACAGATACTAAGACTGACCTACTAAGAACAACGACCTGACTTATTATAAATGGACTTGCGTATTAAACATGAAAATAGAAGGAAGTTATTGACGTAATTAAAACCCCAGTGGTTTCCTTTGAAATTTAAAACCTAAGCATGTTTCTATAACTAAACGCGTTACAGTTAAAGAAGATGATTATGACATTAGTTAAGTGTAAATTAGCGAAATAAACCGTACTATTTTCTGTGCCTTCAGTTTCCAAAAATAAGGAGAGGAATGATAATTTATTTATCATACTACTATAATATTGAAAGTAGTAATACAATTTATTTAGCAACCAATAACAAATTCAACTTCTGACTAATATTCCACTCATATTGATGATACATTGTAAGTTACACAATATAGGTATGTACATAACCAACGACTAACTGTTTATTAGGGTATTGTGATCACGTGATCACCATTTTGTACAAAAATCTTAAGTTATTATCATTTCACTACATAGTATAAAACAAAGTCACTATCCTCCGTCTGTCTGTCCATATGTATGCTTAGATCTTTAAAACTACGCAACGGATTTTGAAGCGGTTTTTTTTTAATAGATAGAGTGATTCTCAAGGAAGGTTTATATTATGTACAATATATACATATTGCATCCGTGCATAGCCGGGGTAGGCTGCTAGTATTATCATATAATACAATACTGACTTTAGAAAGAAGAATGATAAAAAACTTACGTCATCGATGTTAAAAATATTTATTATTGGTAATTCGCCTAAAATTTCTGAACACTGCATGGAAGTTGTTACAGGAGTCTGTCCCACACACGCACTAATTATTCCAAGAAGGCAAAATACTAATATAGTTAATTTGGACATTGTGAGATCGTTAGTTTCCATCGTATCACAATCAAATAAGTTGTGTCCTTTAATTTATATCAAGGCTTATCTGTTATGTTTTATCTTTACTTTAATCGCAAAAATATTATATCTTGTTTCATAGATTTTTTATGTGACTGATAAATGATTTATTAATATGGCAATGATTATGGTTCACCACTACATTATAGAGAGAGACTAGAAACATCAACCTATGAAAACAAGTTTGCAATGAAAATAGTTTTTCATGAATTGATTTGATAATTGATAAAAAGTATGTGTATTATAGTGTTTTTTTAAATGAGACAAGCCCACCACAACCTCCTAAAACCGCTGCAACACATGTAAGCCAGGATCTACAGTAGATACAACTTATATGTTCTGTGGATACAACCATGAAAACACCGCGCGTGCATCCCAGGGACATGAGTAACTGGCTAGGTTCCCGCAACGAAGTGAATCAGAAGATATAAGAGAAGAAGAAGCAGATGTATTATAGTTGTCTAGTTTCTTAATATCACTGTTATACAATAGCAATAGTCAATTGGTTTTTTACAGGAAATTAAATCCAGTACCCACGCTAATTCCTACGTAAGTATGGAATTCAGGAAAAAATACATTTAAAGAAATAGTATTTTTTATTAAGAAGAAAGAAAGGAAGTAAAGAAGAAAATTTTAGTAACCATTCTGTTGTTGCTGTTCCTATCGACTTTCCAAGCAGCCTGCTTAACTAGATACATAACATCTGTAAAGATGATATTTTAAGTTGAATAAAAAAATTAATAAAAAAATTTAAACCGCTGTCAAATCAATAGATATAAAGTTGGCACGACAAAATTAACTACCTGAAAACGTCAGAGATATTTCATTATTTTCTACAACAACAAAAAAGTCAGTATCGTGTAGAAAGAAGAAACACGGTATTAACTATAAAATTATAATTTTAGGTCAAATAAAAGATAAATTCATCATTTCGTTCAAAAATTTATTATCTGTAAGCCGACTACCCAAAAATGAGGACGTTCTCAATTTGTCTGTATGTATTTTTTATTTATTTTATTTAACACTTTATGTACAACTGTATACAATGGCGGACTTAATGCCGAATGGCATTCTCTACTAGCCAACCATAGGGTGATTATTTTTTGTGTGTATATTAAGCGAATACCTACCTCTCGAATACTCTGGCGTTTGTTAACCGTTTGAATAATTCTTTTCTTGTTACAAAAGGGACCGAGGTTACCGTTAAACTCTCTAGGTCCAATGTCCATTACGGAAGGATCTAATGATAGAATCCCAGGGAAACCGAAGAAGAAAACTTTTGAAAATTGTAGGTTAATATTTTCAGAAAATATCTAAAAGCACTACACTAACTAACTATAGCACTACTACAAGTTGATCTGATGATGGAGCCAACAGACAGGCGAGGGAACTTCTCTAGGATATACTGCAATGACCCCGTGCTTTGGCTTTTGGATAAATAAGAAATTTACATTTAGATACATTGATAATTATCATTAAGGTTCTGACGATGAAGTAGTACGATAGTAGAGGGAACTCCTCAACGGTTAAAAGTAGTTTTTTACCTTGTATTTGGGTCAAATTATTTTGTGTTGATGAGGACTTTACACTTAGATGGAGTGTTATTGTCTTAAGAGGTCTGATGAGAAATTTGCGCCAATAAAAGTTATAGATGTAATTTAGCTTAAAATTGTATTTAATTAAATTATCATCTTATCGCCATCTATGAGTAGGCCTTAAGAAACTTTGTGACCGTTTCAAACTGTTTAATTAGAACAATGAGCTGATTTAGTAATCAAATAGTCACTAATCGGAAATTTTATGGCCTTCGAGCCGGATTTTTTGGTGTTTTGTTTAGTTTTAATCGGAGCAGCTGGCCCCTCAGAAGCGGGAATCCCCAGTTGTTTTGAGAAGGCGCACATCCTGTATCTAAGGCGAAAACTTGTGTTTCATAATAATATATATAATATGTAATAATATATATAATTTTATAACACAAATCTACAAAAAAAAAATTAGTTGAGTTTCTGTTCTAATCATAGAACATTTTATATGTTTTATGCTTCTAATAGGTACTTGAATCTGATTCCAAACATCAAAAACATTCACATATCCATTTTTACGTTTGGTTAAGATTTATGTTGATGTACGTTTTGAAGATTTTAATTGATTTTTATGAGTAATTACCTTAATTGCAAATTCTGTAGTATTACAGTTGTAACATAACATAATATCACGCCTTTCATCCCCGAAGGGGTAGGCAGAGGTGCACATTATGCCACTGTACAATGTACCACCCACTTTTCACTATTTATGTTATGAGTCCCATATAATAGGGGATGAGCTTATTGCCATAATTATACTCGGTTGTAATAACCGACTTTTTTGTCGTATTTAGTAAGAAAATTGCACAAAACAAAACATTTATTTTTTTAATCTTTGTTTGCGACACCAGTACCCATCTGCAGAGCCACGTATAGTACGTTAGTTGTGCCCATAATTAAGAACAAAATGACAGAAAATTACGATGCAAATAGCTGCGATGCGATTTCATACGACAAGGCCTCTCCCAGTATTCCTTCGGAGACTGTCAACCGTACTAAATGTATTTTAAATTGAAAACTAGGTCGTGACATGGATCGTAAAAAGAAGTGTGCACTTCTGTTATTGCTTCGAATATACAGGAAAAAGAAACGTAGAAGATTTTGGTAAGATATGACTTTGATGCGAGATGCGAATCAATTCGCAATTTTTTGCGATGCGTACAGGGAGTTCGTACATTTTTGCGATACGATATCGCATCGCAGTTTTGTGTTCGAGGTCTGAGAGCATGTCTTTAATTTCTTAATATTTTATTTCTTTGTTAATTAGTTCGTCGTATCAGGGCGTATGACAAGCATAAATAATAAGACCTATTAAATTCCTAATTTATTGGAATATAAACAAGTATATTTTATAACAATAATAATACATAGACAAAAATACATAATTTTATAAAATACATTCTCAGTATTTACAACAATAATTGAAATATGGCGCATACAAGGAGAAGAACAATACTGCTTTTGAATAAAAATGCTGAACTGGGTTGTAGACAGTTATCATTTTGTTCAACTGTTCTGAAATACGGTTCATGAAGCTCTTGTCTTTGTTGTATCACAGCTGTGATGGCTGTCTCTCCAGCAGGTGACATAGTCCTTTCACGACTCAGCTGCCAAGCACGAACTAGAAGAAAATAGTAATAATATAATGTTAGTTGGCCATTTGCTAGTTAGCAAATAAACTGGTTTTTTTTTTCGTAAGCTAATTATATCTAAAGACATTAGTTTATTATTAGGAATACAGTAGTCCTATCCTATCTTACTACCTACTTATATTGTAAAAGTAGCCTAAGTTACTCCTTATTACATCAGATACCTGCTAAACAAACTTCTGTTAAAATTGGTCCGGCCATTTCAGAGATTAGCCAAAATAAACAGACCGATAGACAGATAAAACTATTTTGGTGTATGTATCGTATGAATTATACATGTATTATAAAGTGGTTATTTTGATATTATAAACCGACACTCCAATTTTAATTATACAGGGGGTAAACGGAACGCTGAAAGGTGATGGTTAAAAACTAGTTTCATATTCATAAAAGTAAAGAATTAAATGTTTCTTTTATGTAATAATAATCTCGAGAATGGCTGAACCGATTTGGCTAATTTTGGTCTTGAAATGGCCGTGGAAGTCAGGAGAAGTCTTAAAAAATATATAAATTTGAGTCGGTACTAAGTTTTCCATGTCAGCTCTAGTAATTATATATATTATATTCATATTATTATATTCTCATAAAATTTCGCATCGATACATCTATACATACAGGATGTAAACGGAACTCTCCCGCAACGCTTATAAAAATGAATTGTTTTTACAATTTTAATCCTTTTTTTCGTATTATTCATGCAACACCAGCATTGAGCAGTTGATTATAACTAGTGTTAGATACATAAAATAAACAGTTATTTCCTTATTTTTATTAAAATAAAACCTGTTTTTTTACCATCACCTTTCAGCGTTTATCGGCAGCGTTCCGTTTAAGTATGTACATTATTTTCAAAGAATTATAAATTTAAATAGCCAAACATATTGTTATTAAACTAAGAATTAATTCGTATTATGACCTTATACATCTGCGATCTTTTTTTCTAATTATGCGACAAATAAAGTATAATGTTAAATATTTAAGTTATATACTTTTTAAGTTATATATTTACAGTGTGTTAATTAACGTTTTATTTATTGAGTCAAATTGTACACTTACTTTGTCGTTGAAAGGCGTTTACGTTGGTGCAACTGTACACTAACGCGTAACTGGTGTAGTCTGTAGCCAGTATATAGACTATGGTATCAGCGCTTTCTGAAATCATAATAAGTACAATATTGTAACTGAACACATTACTTTGACAACATTTTGTAGTTCAATTTAGTGAAAGTATATAGTTAGGTTCTTATTGATGGATTTTGAGTGAACTGTTTTCTAAATTATCTAATTTAAAAAGTTACTGTTTTCTGCCAAACTTATCCAACAATATCAATATATTAACTTTTATTCACCTGGCCCAACTTAAGAACTATTGCTTACCTTCTGAGCCCGCCACTGGCAAGGTTAAAGTTATTTGACCGGAGTTATCAGTTGAATTGATTCTGCCTGTTCCTTCCGTAATCGATAACTCTCCATTGACCACTTCGTATGAAATAATGTTGATGCTGTCAGATTCTGGAGTCAATCTACCACCAACACAAGTGGTTGTAACAGGATCGTATCTCTTAATTTGGTACCAGTTTCCTTGGAACTGTAGAAAGAAATATCACAAAGATGAGCCAATGATAAAGTAAAACATGCAGCCTGCATGAATCACTAATGAGAAGTAGGGTCTACTATTCGATAGATTATTTATTACAATATCAAGTCCTTTTATATACAACTAAATGTTTAGTTTCAATACAACAGC